TTTTTTTTTTTTTTGATTTTGAAAATTTGTGTTTGATCTTTCTTTGTATTGAAAGATAAATATGTGGAATTTGTTTGGAAATTTGTTTGATCAACACAAATGTTTGATTCGATTAGATCAAACACAAAAAATCAACACAAATTGTTTTTGATCAATCTACTACCGAATCAGTTGAAGCAAAAATCAAGTTTGAATTTTTGAATTTGTACTAATTTTTGCTACTAGAATCAAACATTATTATCCCCATTTTGCTTGCAAAGCAAATAAAAAATTGTAGTGGAAAGAGAATTCAAATCTAATAACAAACCTCGTATTTTTTCTTTCTTTTCGTATTTTTTCTTTTTTATTCTTGATCTATTCTTTGTATTTTTCTTGCTAACCATAGAAGCAAGAGGTGTAAAGTAATCAGCAAATTTAACTTGATTCTATGATGTTGTAGATTTCGTTGATGTATTATCAACCAGATTATTGATGTAAGCTCTATTTGAGCGCTCTCTCTCTCTCTCTTCTTGAACCCAGATCATCCACCACCACCACCACCTAAGTCGCCTCAGATCATCTCTATTTTTTTTTTTTTTTTTTTCTTCCTCATGGATCTGGGTCTCTCTACCTCTGCAAGCAACTGTGAATGGGATAGAAGACGAAGAAGGTGAAGGAGTTGAAAAAAAAAAAAGAAAAAAAAAAAAAGGGTCAAAACGATGTCATTTTGACCCCTCGAGCCATTCGGGCACCAATTTCTCAAGCTACCTAGCGGGTTGTATTATGTATTAGGAAAATGTTTGAGAGCCTTAATTTCTGTGGCTCAAATGGCTCAAATTTGTCAAAACGACGTCGTTTTGGCAAATTCGAGTCATTTGAGCCACAAAAATTAAGACCCTCTATCATTGTTGATATATTATCACTCCAACTTGAGGAATGCCCAGTCTTAATTTATCCCAATAAAGCATAAAGCTAGTTGGGTTTGGTTTTGATCCAGAGATCGCTAGACGGTGTTATTGAGTCTTTAAGAGTTCATCACGGGTCTCGTTTTGATAATTCGAACCGTTCAATATGTAGAATTTGTCGAGTATTATATATCTATAAAAAATCAAGTTAGTCGAAAATCGATAGCTATGGATCAAATCAGTTTTGTATAAAACAAAAGGACAGTGAACAATTAACGGTTAACAAAAAACTGTTTTGATCACATCATATCAATATCGATCAACGTGATTTTTTATAATATTACTCAACGAGCTCTACACATTGAATGGTTCGGATTATCAAAACGAGACCTGTGATAGACCCTACAGCCCAACAGTACCGTCCAATCCGATCTCAGTTGGACCAAAGCCGGACCCAAGATAGTTTATATATGGGTCCAAGAAAATAAAAACAAACAAAAATAATAATAATTTGCTCATATCTCTTAAGAAAAATGTGCTACAACTTGTGTAGTTGAGAGTTAAATAGCTGCACTCCAACAACAAGATGATGAGAGTTATTGCAAGCTGGGTCTGTGGGGTGGTGGGTGATATTTATATGTTTTAATTAATATACATAATGATGGTATATTGATATATTTTGTATGGTTTAAATATATGTAACGAATAATAAATGATCAATAAAATATATTAATAACTAATTGGTACACCAGTGTATACACTAATTGTGCATGTAGTATCACCGCATTTTAATTGAATCCCATTTATTTTAAGGCAATTATATATATATATATATATAATTCTATCTATATCTATATTATTATTAAAAGTGAACACTCACCTGGCTGTTATAAAAAAAAATTCTACTTTTGTCAAGTGATTTCTCTTTTGTATCAAGTGTCAACAAGACTTGAAGCTAAAACTATTTGGTTAACTTACTAAAATACACTTTCATCATTTCACAAACATAAAAAATATTATCGGTTTAAAATTAAAATTTATATTTAAGTACGCACCGTCAATATACAAATATATTAGTTTTTTGAGTTGATCTTAATTGAGCACGTGAGTAATTTAAAATTGCATTACATTTATCTCAAGTTCACAACTTAATTTGAGAAATTTGAAGAGTTATAAGTATTCTTACAGTTTCGCTTAATAGTTTAAACTAGTCATATTATAAAGCCTTCTGTATATATCATTTATATAAATAAATAAAAAATTGAGTAGATCCCATATCATTATCTTTTTATTTTATTGTGTTTATTTCTACAAAAATAAATAGTCAATTTTTTAAATATAATTATCATCTATTTTTTGAAAACAAACACGATAAAATGAAGAAATGTTACGATTATCAAATTAATTTTTTTTTTATGAATAATATACATACTTTATAAAATAAATAATTCATCATCCAAATGACTCTCAATTTGATGAGATATGAACAAGTCCAACCCTTTAAAAATTAGTACGAAGGATTAGATATTCCCCATGTCGGAGTCAAGAAATTCAAGTATTTATTTACATTAAAGGTTTAACTTGGGGTTTGGTTGGATTTTTCTTTTAAGAGCAGAAAGTAACCCCTATACTTTAGACGTATGTCTGTTTTTTTTTTTTTTAATGCTATGTTTGATTGGCGGATTTCGGGAAGGGGAAGGTAAAATGCGAATAAAATATACCTATATTTCATCTAGTTTCACACCTATTTTTCCTTTTCCTTTCCAAATCCCTTCTTAAATCTCTCAACCAAACATGGCGTAAATGGTTACAATTGTGTTGGAGTTCTTCATAGTCATTGATTTTTATTTGCACAAGATTGTGTATAGGAGATATGGAAGGCTTTTATTATAAAATATGTCTTGAGCACATAAAGGAATAATTTGCAACTGAAAAATTAAATCTGTCATGCTGGGAGCTGTACTTTGTACTCAGTTACTATTTATCACAAGGAAATACATTCTGATTTTTCAGGAATTTTTTTTGTATGCAACTTTATTCAATTATGTGATTAGAATTTCTTTTGAATTAGGTTACCAAAAGAGAAAGAGCTTAACAAATCAGTTAAAACTGAATCTCTTAGGAGGAAAAGATTTAGTTAAATTTATTAAATTGGTTGCTGATGCTGGTTTATATGCTCATCTAAGGATTGGTCATGCTTGTATTGAATGGAACTATGGGTAAAGCTTATAAAATTTTGTTCCAATCTATTGTATAGTATACAAACCGACAATTTATCAGTGAACTTTGCCTTGTAGACTCTATTTTTGAACAGTGGGTTTCCTCTTTGGTTGCATTTCATACCTGGAATTTAGTTTCAAACTGATAATGAGCCATTCAAGGTATTCCCTCTCACGTTGTCCTGCTGTTAAATTTTAAATTGATGGCCTAAATATGCTCGTTGGACTTCTTTCTGTTTAAGGCGGAAATGAAGCGATTTACAGCCAAGCTTCTTCATATTAAGAGTATGATATGTTTTGGGATTTATAGAGATTGAGGTCTTAATTTATGTTGATCAGTTCTCTATCAAATATAGTTGCATATGATATGCCATAGCTAGCATTTGGCCTATTGTTCCCTTTTGTTTGGCTCCTGTTCATTTGAATGTTTGGCAAAAATAAATCTTGTATGGTATCCTATAAGCTAACAGCTCTGTGGATCTGCTTCCTGCAATATGTTCTGCTTTCATTGGGGTTTGCTAGAGCTACTTGCTTCTGATTAACTCACTCTATTACAAGATTTACCTGCTGTTCTTCTTGTCGGTGTAATTGTTGTTTGTGTTCATTGTTATAAAGCTCTAGATGGTGTCCATCTCAGAGTGAGTTTTATCAGATTTTTTTATATCTGTGCTTGATATCTGAGTTTCACTAGTTAATGGATTTGTGGAAGCAATGAATATCCTACATTGTTCTAACTGAAGTTGGTTTTGTTAATTTGGTTGCGCTGCGCTGGGCGGGCAGGTTATGTGTACAGAATACCTTGAAGAAAGAAAAGTGTTAATGTAAATTGTAAATAGTAAACCTACTCCACTACCACCCACTCCACCTACCACCTCCACTACCACCCACTCCACCTACCACCTCCACTACCACCTACACCTACCACTACCACCTTCACCTACTCCCAAATCCTCTCCTATATAAATCCTTGTAATATACCTTGTAATATACAACAATATATAACAATCAATAATACAATTCTCTCTATTTCTCTATACATTAATTTTACAGAAGGGAAAATATCATTGTGCAGGCATTATGACAACAAGCGAGTAAATCCAAGCTATTTGGGGATGAAGTTTGTTGATGAAGTGAGAGACCATCCTGACATTAATCTTGACTCAGGCCTAGTTTGGGAAGACTAAATAAGTACACTTTTTGACTTTTTATGAAATATGGGTTGGGTTTGGGTTGGGTTTGAAGTGATGTGTTAGAGAGGTGATGTGACTTAAATAAGATGATGTGACTTAAATAGGATAGTGACTTTTTGACTTTTTGTCTTTTTTCAATCATGCCAAACTTGGCCTTAGTCAGGGCCATGATGGCCCGAACATTAGGTTAATTAAGGCCCATATTGAAGAAGGTTTTCAAATTTTTAGGTCCTTTATGGTGTATACCAATTTATTTGCAAAAACCTCTTATAATAGGTTTAGATTAATTGATAAATTCAAAGGTTGTATTTGGATCATAAATTTTGGTAGAGAATTGAAAAGTGATCTTGGTATAATTGAAAAAATGTGATTAATTTAATGAATCAAGTTTAAACAAATTTTAAAACTCTATAAAATTTTCAAACAAAATTTGAACAATTAAAAGTTTAGATGGTACGCATAAAATTAATCATTTTTTTATTAAAAATGTGGTGAGTTCAACTCTTATAGTGTGTTAATACGAATATTTTTTGTCTTTATTAAAAAATAAATTAATAAACTTATCTTAGATGAAGTTTTTTTTTTTTTTTTTTGGGGAAAATTACATATACCCTTTTAAGATTTGGCTAAATTACAAATACCCCTCTGAAGTTTGAGAAATTATAAATTCTCTCCTGAATGCTATATTTACATAACAAATTAGGGAATAATTTGTTATGAAATATAAACTTCATGGGACAAATTGTTATGAAAATATAACTCTCAAGAGATGGGATGTAATTTTTAAAATCTCAAAAAAATATCTATAATTTAGTCAAATTTCGAGAGAAGTATATGTAATTTGCTTCTTTTTTTTTTTTTACGTAGATTCTTGACCCATTTGTTCTCACGCAATCCACTCCACTTTCAGAGGCGAATTCGAACCTATTCTCTTATGTCCACTTGGAAAGAGAAAAAAAAAAAAAAAAAAACTAATCTAACGGATAATATTCAGACACTATAAAAGTGGTGAACAACAGAACTAATCTAACGGATGGTATTCAATTGAATTTTTAGCTGCGCAAGCTGTGAGCCCACCACGTGGAAATACTCAACAGAAATACTGTCAGCGCCGTCAATATGGATCATATTCAATAACCATTCATTCAACTTACATCTATATTATGATCGGTTTTGGTTGATAGTTCGAAATTTAGGGGCCGAATGTCCCTAAATTTTTATATAAGGCAATAAAAAAAAAATAAGAAAAAAAAAAAAAGAAAATAAAAATAAACTTATCCAGAAAAAGAAATTAGGGCCATTAGGGCCACTGTTTTTAGGGCCACAATTCATTTTCCTATTATGATTACTAAACAATTTTACTTTTGGAAAATGATTGGTGGCCCTAAAAAATTTGCCCCTAATGCCCCTAATTTCTAATTTTGGAAACTGTTTTCTTTTTTTCTTTCTTTTTTCCTTTTTTTTTTTTTTTCCTAAAGTGGAATTTCGGGGCATTCGAGCCCCGAAATTTAGGGCCCTCAATCACTTCCGTTTACTTTTTCATCAAACTGTTTAAAAATACTTAACGATTTTCTTCAATCAAAAATTGTCAAATGATTCTTGTCATAATCAAATTCTTCAAACAAATTGAATATATAACTGCAAACACATGATTAGTATTATATAATGTGTAAACTCCAATTTAATATGAACACAAATATCGTCATGCTTTTTAATTTTTTAAAATTATCCCAAAAACATTCTCATCATTGTAGCCATCATTTACTTTTTACACATATATCACTTACGTTGAAATTTTATAATACATACTTCAAAAAGAAAGATCTATCATTTATCTAGTTATGTTTGTTTTTTATTTTTTAGTATTTAGTTATGATTAATTGTAATATTTTTTTTATGATTTGATTATAATTTATTATACTGTTAATAATGATTTAATTATAACTTATTGTGATAATTATTTTATTACTATAAAAAAAAATCATTATAACTCATAACCTAACACACATAACTAAAGTATACAAATAGAAAATTCATACTTAATCTCTAAAACAAAACACTCATAAATATAATTTATATTTAAAACAATGTTTGTGACACATTATTCCTTTTCTTTTCTTTTTTATGATCGAATATCTGAGCTAGTTACGCACACAAAACGCCCCTTTCATGTGAGTGGGCAGAGCCCGCAAGCGTAGCCTTAAAAAGTAAATTTCTCTTAATGAGAGTTTAACCTAAAATCTAGAGAAAACACACTCTTAAATCTCTAATTGCACCTATTAAGCTAACCTCTTGAGGTTTCCTGTCATATCATTCTTAGACATTTCCAACCCATCACTTTTTCTTTCATCAAATTTAAATTTGATGAAAAAACTAACATTTTCCTGCTCCAACCCTTTCATCAAATAAGTATCAAATTCAGAATTTATCAAATCATTCATCAAATTGAGAATGAATGTGCCTTCATTAAATTACTATTCATAGCCGTTGAAACTGTAAGTCATTTTCACTACCGGCCAACCAGCCAGATCTGGTCGGTTGTTTCTCCAAATGACCACCTTCTTGTAAAAATTTGTGAAAAAATTATACTGGCTAGTCAACTTGGCCAGACATCCGCCCAGTCAACTAGTGTTTTGATGAAAGTCCGTTGAAGCGCATCATATCAAATAGAGTTTTTACTCAAATTTGGTGGGGAAAAAAAAAATACAACGTTGGAAATGCTCTTATATGAACTTTACATAGCCTATTTTGAAAAATAGATTAAAAGTCAGATTTTAAATTTTTAAAAAAAAACGTGTAAAAAATAAAGATAATACGATTCAAAAAAAATTAAAAAACCAAAAAAAATAATTTTAACAAACTTACCAAAGTAGGCCATATAAATAGTATTTTCTAATTAAAATAATATCTACAATGAGTCATTCCAAACACTAAAACCAGGAATTATCATAACTTACCTATAATATTAATAAATAAATAAATAAAAATGTGTATACAGTAGACGAAACCCATCACTCTATGTGCACAAGTACGGATGTACACATAGCATGCGAGAGATTTGAGAGGGAATGTTATAGAATTACCTGGTCATCGGTGTGGCCACTTTGGTTCTTGGGACCTTGTTCTGTGGAGCCCTCACCCTCAACAGGGACTTGATCCGCTGCTCCTCCGGTGACGGAGATGCCTGTGGCTGGTGCTGTATTCGGAATCTGAACCGCTGGCGTTCTGGCTTTTGGTTGGCACCATCACCGCCACAACTCAGAACTCTGATGATCTGATAACAAACGAACCAATAATTGACGACTCACAGCAAGTCTTCACCGCATGTAGTGAGAGAAACAAAAGTGTGTGTTTGTGTTTCTGATATTATTTTTGTCTAAAATTCCAGTCTTTCAAGTATAAGGAGATGAGAGAGAGAGACGTTCAAAACATGAGGCTAACGAAATGGGCGTGATTGGTAATTTTTGGACTTGTCCATCTCCTCTTTTCTAAAAGCCACTCAAATTTCCATAATATATATTCTTTTAGTTTATTTTATAAATTAAATTTTATTTTGATGATGCAAACAATTTAATTTTTATATCACCACACATAAATCGTGTATAAAAATAATCAAATCGATTTGATTATAACATTTATTTATTAAAAATAATATGACAAATACTATTTAAAAATTATACTATCTAATTTTTAAAAAACAAAAATAATGAAAGAACTTGGTTATAATTGTTAAATTGACTTGATTTTTCATAAATGATTTTTTTATGAATAATTTACCAGATCATCATCGAGGTGATACTCACGATGGGTCTCATCGTCCTAAATAATATAATCTAATCCGTAAGTTGGACAAATTAAATTCCATATCTTTTAAAATTTATTCACTTACTATTAATTGATTTTGAATTGCTCTGAAACTCTTTTTAAACTATCAAAAAATTCAAATTAAATAATAAATTTTAATCCCCAAATACAAAGATAAATTATTTACATACTATTTTTAATCAATAACATAGTTAAAACTAGTACAAGATAAAGACTCATATATAATTTATCCATAATTACATGGTATGATATGTGTCAAATTTGATTTCTCACCAACTCAATCATTTAAAACTCATTGTCAAGTCATTATGAATAAATTGTGTCCTTTAAATTATGAGTTTTTAGGATTTCTTTGAAAAGAAAAGAAAAATTAGGAGTGGTACATGGTTGACTTGCCTTTGTTAAGTAATATATTATCATTACTAGATCAATTTAATTTTTTGTTAATGATATGCATATAAAAAAAAATTAAATAAACAATTTTAATTATTAAAACGAGATTCATGATAAATTTACGAGTCCGAACAACACTCTAAATTGGAAAGACTATGCCCAACGACTAATAAATAATTTTCAAATCTCAAATTTATTATCTTCATCTCAAACAAACAAACGTATAATTGTTGAATCTCAAATTTATCAGCAACATAAAATATATTATTTATTTTTTAAAGAAAAATAGAGTGGTGTAGGAAGGAACCCTTCAACAAAAAACTAAGAAGAAAAAAAAATAATAAAAATAGTAATAATAATAATAGGAAATTAAAACTTTGTGGTCCACCAATAGCTGGCACTAATATAATATTTAAGGTAAATTATCAATAGGTCATAATAGTTAAATTTAACTTTCATCAAGTTCTATTAAAAATAAGTCTTAGTAAAATCGTCGCTAAAATAATTTTTTTTAACAATATATGTCGCTAAAAATTGATAATTATTGATTTTTTTAGTCACAATTTTTATAAATTGTCGGTAAAACTTACAATTAGTTATTTTTTTGTGATAAATTTTTTAAACTGTAGCTGAAAGTTAAAAATTTGTAATTTTTTTATGATGTATTTTTTTAAATGGCCACTAAAACTTATAATTAGTGATATTTTTTGTGACAAGATTTTCAAATTGTAGCTAAAAATTAATAATTAATGACGTTTTTTAATAATGTTTAATGAAAAATACCATTAATTATTATAGGACCTACTAAATAATAAGTTCACCTATTATGACCTACTTGTAAGCCCCGTATATATTTACACATGTACTCCTCTCAAGTGTGAATTCGTTTAAATAATGTGAAAAATACATAATGACCATGTTTGGTATAGTTTTTTTAAGCTAAAAATTGAAAACACAAAAACAGAAACTAAAAACATCCACCTCTCAGTTTTTAAATAATTAATTATTTTTTAATTTTTTAAAATCTATTTATACTTAATAAGTTATAAACAAAAATTATATTAAACAGTATCACACATACTATCAAATTAAATAAGGCATAATCAACAACAATCCAATATTTGATTGGTTGATTCTCAAATTTTGATAAGACTAGTAAAAAGTTGTGTTATTCACATTTATGTGAACAAATTCGCACTCACTCCCTCCCTCTAAATTTGTAGTATTTATGTTGTTTAATTAAGCCAATAAATAATATATTTTTATTAAAAAATAAATTTTTCACAAATTAAAGATCTTAATTAATTTTTAACAATAAAGTTTTCAAAATTATTAACAAAACAAATTTAAAAATATAAATAATTTTCTAAAATATCTCAAATAGTGAAAATATACCAACAATTTGAGACCAAAAAAAGAAAAGTATAACATAATAACAGTAATACTTCGTCATATTTTGACTTTGTTTAGAAAGTTAGTTATTTCAGTTGGCTTTTTAACTTGACTAAAAAAATTGTATTTGGACATATATGTGATTTTTTTTAGTTGATTTGATGGTTAAGAGAAAAAAAATAAAATGATGATGAATAGAATGTGACATTTTATCTTATTAATTATTTTAATTTATTTATCTTTATTGATTATTTTAATCCAAATAACCCTTCTCAATGTATTGAAAATTTTAACAATGAAATATTAGGAGAAATATAATTTATTTAGGAGTTGTTTGAGAAGTGATAGATTAGTATACTTTTTGAATTTTTATGAAAAAACGTAAAATATGAGTTGAATATGATTGTATTTGAAATAATGTAGTAGAGAAGTAATGTGATTTAAGTAAAATAATTATAACCTAAATAAGATAATGTACTAAAATAACACGTGCCAAACAATTACTTAATAAATACATGACCGTCTAATTTTATTATTAATTAATAATGCATTACATAAAATATCACACGATATGTGTTTCTAAACCGGCAGTCCCTCATGCACGCCAAATATTGAAAAAAATATAATTGATTTAATAAATAAATAAGATAAATTATTAATAGATTTTAATAGTTGAATTTAATTCCTATTAAATTTTATTAAGAATAAATTTTAATAAAATCGTCGCTAAAAATAAATTTTTGTAACGATTTTTTGCATGTCACTAAAATTTGACAATTAGTGACTTTTTTTATCATAATTTTTATAAATTGTCGCTAAGACTTATAATTAGTGATATTTTTCTATAACAAATTTTTCAAATTGTTGTTGAAAGTTAAAAATTAGTGATATTTTTTTGTGATAATTTTTTTTAATTATCGCTAAAACTTATAATTAATAGTATTTTTTGTGATAAAATTTTTAAATTGTCACTAAAAATTGACATTTAGTTACATTTTTAATAGTGATTGATAAAAAATATAATTAATTATCATAAGACTTATTAAATAATAAATTCACTTATTAAGACTTACACGTAAGTCTCCCAAATAACTGTTCGTCTAATTTTATTATTAATTAATAATAAATTACATAAAATAATACTCATTCCTTCTTAAAATATTATGCTTCATTTGGTTTAAACCAAGTTTGGCAAGTTGAAAAAAAGCTAAAAAGTTACTCAAAAAGTTAAAAAGTTATCACTATTCACCAAAAGTCAAAAATTATGGCTGCACAACTCTCAATCCTAATTTTTCCTTACACATTAATTTATATAATTTTTTAATACACATTTTTTCATAAAAAGTCAAAAAGTAACCCAAACATCCATATTTTTTTCCTCAATTTTTTAGTTAAAAAAGACAAAAAGTACACTTATTTAATTCATTTTGGAATTTGGAAATTTAGTTAAAAATTGATTTTTTCGGGTTTTTTTTTTTTTTGACTTCTTTGTCATTTTGTGTGTAAAAAATGTGAGAAGTGATATGACTCAAAATAGGTTAAAAGCTAAAAGTTAACTTTTAGCTAGCTTCTTAAATTGCTCCTTAATTTTTTAAAAGAGTTTTGAAAATTTAAAACTTGTTTGATTATGAATTTTGAAACTAATTTTTAAGTCGTATATTTCGAAAGTGATTTTTAGAAATTTTCAAATTAAAAACTTGTTTGGTTATGAGTTTTCAAAACTAATTTTTAATTACATCTTTTTTTGGATCTTGTGTTATTATTGTCTTATAGTTAATACTTTTTTATAATATTATAATCAATGTTATTTACTTATTTTACATCCGTACTTAAAACTTTTTACAATATTATAGGTAATTTTATTTTTATTTTTATTTTGTTTACTTCTTTTATCTACATAATCTAAATGTATTTTGCAAATAGACATAATATAATCTATATGACATAGTTTTATATGTATATATTAGTTTGGAAGAACGTTTTTAAAATTTTAAAATTGTTTTCTAATTTATATCCACTTGACCTCTATACATTTAAAACGTTTCATATTTATTACATTTATTTTTCATTTATTCACATTTTGTTTACTAGTTATGTATATTTTTTTGATCGTCCATATATATTTAGAACATAACAAATTATTTGGCCAAAACTTAAAAATAAATTTAGAACAAAATTTCAAAATTACTTTTCTTTCCACTACACATCAATCAATCATTTTTCTCTATTTTCTCCTAATCACTTTTTCTCTAACATGGGAAGTGTTTGGGTGTGCAAGATGCATACCATATATACTTGTGTAAATTCTCACAAATATACATAAATTATCTCATAAAATTGTGTAAGTTCTCACAAATATACGTAAATTGTGATTTCTCAAAATTTTATGAATTAGCTTACGTATATTTGTGAAAATTTACCCATTTTTATTTTTATGGATTAACTCACATACGTTTGTAAAAACTTACCCGATTTTGTGAGGTAATTTACGTATATTTGTGAGAATTTACATAAACATATATGGTATACACTTGCACACTTAAAAATTGCCCCTCTGGCACCCATCTATTCAACTATATAAAAAAAATACTCCATCAAATCATTCCAAATTCCAAAACTATTTTCAAAATATATAATCAAACATATTTTTAAATTTTCTCAACCCCCTCTAGAAAATTATTTTTTGAATAATATCTCAAGACACAAACCAAATAAGGTCAAATCTTAACTTGTTTGGTTACAAATTTTAAAAATAGTTTGAAAAAATTTGTTTGGTGTTAAATTTTAAAAGAGTTTTTAAATAGTTGAGTTGAATATATATTTGAAAACCCAAAACCAAACAGATTTTTAGCTTTCGGGTTGTCAAATTGTGATTTGAAAAATAAATCAAACAAAATATTTTCTTTTCAGAAATTAAATTTTTTTTATAGTACAATTATTATATTTTTAAAATATTAATTTTCTAAAATTATTCTTTGATAGTAAAGACATTAGATTTTTAAAATATTAATGTTAAAGAATTTGAAAAAAAAAAAAAAACATAAAATAGGAAATTTATGTTATTTTGGTCTTTGATTTTTTTAAAATGGGTCTAAGAGTTTATCTTACTCTTTTTTTATATATAAAAACTTAAACTGATATCAAATGTTCCAATGAAGAATTCTAAATTTTTATTAAATTAGTGCTCGATTGGGAAGATGCCGGGCCAGTTAACTGGCTAATGTAAATTGTAAAAAAGTGGATGTCTGGGTAGACAGTCAGTTGGTACTCCTGCACTAATGGCTATTTACAATAATTTGATGAAAGGCTCTAGGCATTTTTAATTTGATGAAAAATTTAAGACATCATCAATTTGATACCAAACTGATTAAACTATTGTTTTCATCAAATTTAAATTTAATGAAAAATCTAATAAAAGGTTAAAGACGCTCTAAGAGGTTGTTTGGGTAACACTAAAAAAATGTATTGTTTATCTTTTTTAGATCAGATCACCTTTTTTATTCTTTTACATATTATTTTATAAAAAAATCAAAAAATATATTTTTTTAATAGTTTTCAAATAACTTTTAATAGTTAGAGATAATAAAAAACAGAATAAACAACTAATATTTTAAGATAGAGAGGTAAGTGGATTTTTATCTTTCTTTTTTTATTTATTTATTAAGATTCAGAAAAAAAAAAGAAATTAAAATAATTAATAAGACAAAATATTATATCAAATTTATAATAATTTTATTTTGTTACCACAAACATCACATATTACTATAAAAAAAATTCAATCATCCTTTTTAATATAAAAATTAAAATAGTTAACTTCCCGAACGAAACAAGTAATAAATAAATAAGGAGAAGAAGAGAAAAGGGAAAGGAGACCAAGAAACAAAATTTCAATTCTTTTCCATCAAAAAGGTAGAAATGTTTTCGTTTCCTCATAAACCAAATAAATCATTAGTGGAATGCTAAAATTCCAATGTTTCCATCAAAACATACTGCAATGCTACATAACAATACCAAAATAGAGAGTTGTTTTAAGTTTCGATACCTATTAGCCTATCCAACAATACTCGTTTCCATTTGCAATTTTTTGTCAAGAAAAGATTTGAGATGAAAGGAGAAAATGTCTGCACTCGTCTCTGCTTTGTCTGCCTCTCAAGATAAAATGGGTACAGGATATCTTTCTGCTTTCCCTTCTGAACAATTTGACCGTTTCGAAGCTATAAAACCTGTTTGGGCACCATATTACACCATTCACAAGGTAAAACTGCATTAGAATTCTAGTTTTTTAGTTTAGCTCATACTTTTATTGTATATAACTGACTTTCACCTTTTCTTGATTAACAGATAATGGCAGGTCTTTTGGATCAATACATATTGGCCGAAAATGTTCAAGCTTTAAAGATGTTGACATGGATGGTTGACTACTTTTACAACCGTGTGCTGAACGTGATAACAAAGTACAGTGTTGAAATTTAAGGCTACTTTTTCTCTCTATAAATGTAGTATGTATATCACTGGATAAACGTGCGTTTACCTTTTGCTTTAAATCAAATTGGGAAATTTGTTTGGCAAGAAACCATTCTTGGCTTTCACGGGACTGTTTGGGATTATATTGAATTGTCTCATTCTCTGATCGGTTGCTATAAATAGGTGAGTGGGTGTGTTCTCCGGCTTAGAAAGAATCAACCACCGAATTCTGAATTTTTCTCTTACAAAGCATCCAATGAAAATACGCTCTCAGTCCAAAATATTAGTTATTTTTAAGGGATTTAAATTTTTTTAGTAATATAATTATTACAGTTTAAAATATCAATTATTAATAACTTTAAAAGAATGACAAAATATAAAATTAATGTTATTTTTATTTTTAATTTTTGAAAAGAGATTAATATTTTAAAATAATAAAAAATGAACTAATATTTTAAAATGAAAGAAGTAAAATTTTTTCACAATCTTTTCTTTTTGGACTTTTTATGTATTTATTCTTTCGGAGCACTTATTCATAAAGAGTGGTGCTATTAGATGATTGAATGTAATAATGGAGAAGATGAAAAGATATGTAGATAAACTGAAAAATATTGGCAATATATATATATATATATATATATACATACAAAAGTAATAAACACTAAAAAAATGCATATAAAATAAGAAATAATATTATGAGCATAAAAATGGAGAATATGAAAAGATGTGTAGATGAATTGAAAAATATTAAGAAAGAGAAATATATACACACAAAGTAACAAATACTAAAAAAATACATATAAGATAAGAAATAATATTACACTGACCTTGTAATGATTTTTTTCAGATCATCAAACTTGCAAAATGTAACAATGGAGAAGATGAGTTATTTTGAGAAATAAAATATGGATAGATGAGAAAATGATTGAATTTGATTGGAATAAATTGAATAGAGGTTTGTGTGTAAAAAATGTGAGAGTTTCGGGTTTTTTTTTTTTTTTGACTTCTTTGTCATTTTGTGTGTAAAAAATGTGAGAGGTGATATGACTCAAAATAGGTTAAAGGCTAAAAGTTAACTTTTAGCTAGCTTCTCAAATTGCTCCTTAATTTTTTAAAGAGTTTTGAAAATTTAAAACTTGTTTGATTATAAATTTTGAAACTAATTTTTAAGTCGTATATTTTGAAAGTGATTTTTAGAAATTTTCAAATTAAAAACTTGTTTGGTTATGAGTTTTCAAAACTAATTTTTAATTACATTTTTTTTTGGATCTTGTGTTCTTATTGTCTTATAGTTAAAACTTTTTTGTAATATTATAATCAATGTTATTTACTTATTTTACATCCGTACTTAAAACTTTTTACAATATTATAGTCAATTTTATTTTTATTTTGTTTACTTCTTTTACCTACATAATCTAAATGTAATTTGCAAATAGATATAATATAATCTATATGACATAGTTTTATATGTATATATTAGTTCGGAAGAACGTTTTTAAAATTTTAAAATTGTTTTCTAATTTATATCCACTCGGCCTGTATACATTTAAAATGTTTCATATTTATTACATTTATTTTTCATTTCTTCACATTTTGTTTATTAGTTATGTATATTTTTTTGATCGCCCATATATATTTAGAACATAACAAATTATTTGGCCAAAACTTATAAATAAATTTAGAACAAAATTTCAAAATTACTTTTCTTTCCACTACACATCAATCAACCATTTTTCTCTATTTTCTCTTAATCACTTTTTCTCTCACATGGGAAGTGTTTGGGTGTGCAAGGTGCATACCATATATACTTGTGTAAATTCTCACAAATATACATAAATTATCTCATAAAATCGTATAAGTTCTCACAAATATGCATAAATTGTGATTTCTCAAAATTTTATGAATTAGCTTACGTATATTTGTGAAAATTTACCCAATTTTATTTTTATGGATTAACTTACATACGTTTGTAAAAACTTACCCGATTTTGTAAGGTAATTTACGTATATTTGTGAAAATTTACATAAACATATATAGTATACACTTGCACACTTTGCCCCTCTCGTACCTATCTATTCAACTATATAAAAAAAATACTCCATCAAATCATTCCAAATTCCAAAACTATTTTCAAAATATATAATCAAACATATTTTTAAATTTTCTCAACCCCCTCTAGAAAATTATTTTTTGAATAATATCTCCAGACACAAACCAAATATGGTCAAATCTTAACTTGTTTGGTTATAAATTTTAAAAATAGTTTGAAAATTTAAAATTTTGGTGTTGAATTTTAAAAGAGTTTTTAAATAGTTGAGTTGAATATAGATTTGAAAACTCAAAACCAAACAGATTTTTAGCTTTCGGGTTGTCAAATTGTGATTTGAAAAATAAATCAAACAAAATATTTTCTTTTGAGAAATTAAATTTTTTTTTGATAGTACAATTATTATATTTTTAAAATATTAATTTTCTAAAATTATTCTTTGATAGTAAAGACATTAGATTTTTAAAATATTAATATTAAAGAATTTGAAAAAAAAAAAAACATAAAATAGGAAATTTATGTTATTTTGGTCTTTGATTTTTTTAAAATGGGTCTAAGAGTTTATCTTACTCTTTTTTTATATATAAAAACTTAAACTGATATCAAATGTTCCAATGAAGAATTCTAAATTTTTATTAAATTAGTGCTCGATTGGGAAGATGCCGGGCCAGTTAACTGGCTAATGTAAATTGTAAAAAAGTGGATGTCTGGGTAGACAGTCAGTTGGTACTCCTGCACTAATGGCTATTTACAATAATTTGATGAAAGGCTCTAGGCATTTTTAATTTGATGAAAAATTTAAGACATCATCAATTTGATACCAAACTGATTAAACTATTGTTTTCATCAAATTTAAATTTAATGAAAAATCTAATAAAAGGTTAAAGACGCTCTAAGAGGTTGTTTGGGTAACACTAAAAAAATGTATTGTTTATCTTTTTTAGATCAGATCACCTTTTTTATTCTTTTACATATTATTTTATAAAAAAATCAAAAAATATATTTTTTTAATAGTTTTCAAATAACTTTTAATATTTAGAGATAATAAAAAACAGAATAAACAACTAATATTTTAAGATAGAGAGGTAAGTGGATTTTTATCTTTCTTTCTTTTTTTTATTAAGATTCAGAAAAAAGAAAAAATAAATTAAAATAATTAATATGACAAAATATTATATCAAATTTATAATAATTTTATTTTGTTACCACAAACATCACATATTACTATAAAAAAAATTCAATCATCTTTTTTAATATAAAAATTAAAATAGTCAACTTCCCAAACGGAACAAGTAAACCGACCATTCCTAAGCTCGTTTGGCATAAAAAAAACCTCAAGTTTTTTGGTTAAAATAGTCATTTAAAAAAAATTAATCTAATAAAATAAAATGTTACATTCAATTCATAATTATTGTATTTTCTCCGTTAAAAAAATCAAAAAAACTCCTCATAAACGAGATTTTATAACTAAATCAACCCGCGTCCCAAACCAATTCTATAAAAAAAAAAAAAAGAAAAAAAGAAAGAAGAGAACGAAACGACCGTCCCACCAAAAAGGAACAAAACGACCGTCCCTCGTGCACGCCGCGTAGACGTTATCAAACGAATATGCTTACAGAGCCTCTGTACATCACTCAGATTTAAGACTCTCTCTCAATCTCTATATCAATATAATAAATTAGCAAATTTCAAGACATTTTTCAGAGATCCAGAGAAAACTGAGAAATGGGTTTGAAGGTTTGTTTACTATACTCCCCAAATCAAGTCAAATAATTCAATTTTAGCTTCTTCGTATCTGAAATTTTGCTGTTTTGTACACTCCTTATGAGTTGATTTTGATCTGTTCTTGTTATATATTTTTTTGGATCTGTTGTCTGATTGCCCAATTTTTTGGTTCTATTTTATTTACATTAGATCTAAATGATTGATCTGGGTATGAATTTATCTATAATTTTTATTTTTAAATTTTAATTTCGTTTTCCTTCTTGATCTTTTGTGGGCTCGTTCTATGTCGTGATAAAAAAAAATTCACGCTTTGGCTATTTGTTTTCATGGATCTGCCATTATTTTATTTTACGTTCCTTCAGCAAATTGTAGATTTTTATTAAGCAAATTTTACAAGTCTCTGTATTTATATGTGCCATACATATTCTTTCTTGGTGACTAACTCGTTGAAGGGGTGATCCAGTTGTTACGTTTGCTTATTTATTGCTTGAATTTGTGATCTTTACTCATGGACTGAGTTTGCTTGGGACAGAATGCCAGGCAACCAAGAAATGATATGTGCATTGAGTGTCTTTGAGATGCGAATGCTTAGATGGATGTGCAGTGAGATTAGGAAAAATAGAATTAGAAATGAATATATAATATGTTTGTGAAATGGCAGAAGTAGCATCTATTGAAAATAAGTTGAGAGAGACAGGTCATGTACAACGAAGAATACATCTAGATTCAATGGTAAGGAAGAGTGATATGATGTTCGGAGAAGGGGAAGTCCTAAGTAGACATGGATTGCAATGGATATAAATTTGTTTAATTTAATTCAGCATATAGTCCTTAATAGAGTAGAATGCCAAAAAAGGATTCATGTAGTCAATTTCACTTGATTGGGACACAATGCTTAGTTTGGTTAAGGTTTTTTTAGTGTCTCTGTGTGCATGTGCGTATGCTTTAGCTTTGTGATTAGTTTTAGGTGAAGAAAATGTTTCTTGCAAAAATCACCAACATAAACTACTGTAAATCATAATTGAGATGATCGTCCAGCCCAAATATGACTTAGACTTGCAACATGCTGCACATTCACATAGACATATATTTACATATATTTGGACAATGAAAAAAAATAAATAAAAGGGAATAGTTTTGTGTCACAATGTCATGACCAAAGGCATATTTAGGTGCATTCATTCCTCTCATTGTGATGGGAACTACTGTCTAGTTTTCACTAGGAATGTTTATGGTGTTGTTCTTTATTTCTTTTATGTTTTCCTCAACCAATGCACATGCCTTCTTTTTAGTTTTTTTTATTCTAGGTTGATGCTTAGTGTTGAACATGATGGGCCAACGCTTGCTATCAAATTTAACATAATGTTGGAGCTTGGGGTAGCCACTTTGTGCAAATATAATAATGTTGGGGATTAGGTCTACCCAGGCTACCCCTCTCAACACTTGGGAATGGCGTGTACATGTACTGATTCATGATCTGTTTGATACATTCAGAGATTCCTCTGTCTTGTGCAATAAATATAGCTTTATAGGTATGTGTCATCCAATCAATTGGAATTTGGAAGCCTGTACTGTTTTCTTCCTCACTAACTAACTATCCTCAGTAGTTTTAAATTGTTTGTTCCTGCCCATTGAACTGATTTGAATTGCTTCTTGTTTCTGTTTGTTTTGTCTTTTTCTTTATATCCTTCTGGGGTCAATTCAAATTGATCACTAGGCATTTTTATTTATTGTACACGTCATGGTGACCTCCTTAGTCACCTAAAGAAAAGAAAAGAAATGAAGAAAAGAAAACATCACAGTTTACCAGTTTTACGTTTCATGTTTTTCTGTCACCTTTCCTAATGTTTGTAGTTGTCTGTGATGGATTTGCCTCTGCAGTTCTCACATCAAACAGTTATATGTTCCTTTATTTAGCAGTCTGCACCTTGTTTCCAGTGTCATCTGATTTTGTTTGGCTCACACTGTCCTGCCAGTTGACATAAACTGATATTGTCATACCATTTCTTTTGGCACCAAGTTGGCTCATTCTTGTGATCTTCAGTGATACTCCATTATCAATCACTGGGCAGCTATTCTTTTTAACCTTTTGTTGCTGCCTCATGCTTGAAATACAGCATAACTTTTGGTTTATTTGGCCTGTATACTTTCCATAGTCCACACTTTACTTCATGGTTTCTTGCATTGATTTGTTTTCAACTCTTGACATTTGGGATCTTTCCTACCAAATCTTGCTCAAACATGTCTGTCAATATTTGTCATACTGTTCAAATCCCTTGCATCTCTCTTGACATTTTTTTCAACATTTTGCACCCATGTGCATTTTTATCTGTCAGGTTTGAAAAGAAAATTACTTTTACCTTTGTGAAGTGAACACTTTGATACTGAAACCATAACTGATAGGCCTTTGAAAGTATGAAATGATGTTGAAAGAGCCAATGATTTTCTATAACAATAATTAAAATAAATAAATAAATAAAATAATGAGTTTGCATACCCCTGCTATGAAACTTGTGCATCAACTTCAGTTGATGTTTAACTTGAAATATGGGTTTCGAAAAATAATTTTCTGCTCGTAGTCAACAACATAAACCATGGTGACAGGGACTAGCTTTAGTAACTATGCTGTTGTTGCCATGTTGTAACTATAAATGTCACTTCTGGTGTGGTTGGCATTCTCAACCTTTTGTTTCGAGACGATCTTGGCGGCGGCGTATGGTTTGTTTCTGGGAAACTTATTGTCCTGAAGTTAGCATACACTAAGGATATGAGCATGTTATGCATTCTGAATTTCTATCTCACTAACATATTGATATTAAACAATTTGGAACCTGCAGGAGGATTTTGAGGAGCATGCTGAAAAAGCTAAGACCCTGCCTGAGAGTACCACTAATGAAAGCAAGCTTATTCTTTACGGACTGTACAAGCAAGCCACTGTTGGACCAATCAACACTAGTCAGTAATTAGCTCTTGTTAATGTGCTTCCTAAAATAGAATGCAGTTTGTTTTTGATGTTGAGTCTTTTCTATCAATCATAATTCAGTCTAATTAATTTATCTGGTCCGCAGGCCGTCCCGGTATGTTTAACATGAGGGACAGGGCAAAGTGGGATGCATGGAAGGCTGTTGAAGGTATTACATTGGGATATTAAATTTTTATAACATTCAAATTTTTGTCTTTCATGTGGTTGAGCTCCATCTATGTTACATGGACCCTTCAAATTAAATCAAATACCCATCTTGGACACCTGACATCGGACAAGAGTGTGGAATATGTGTCCGATACTTGCCATCTTGCACTTCTTGTATATTTATGTTTAACACTATCATTATATGTATATGTTGTTGTATAAAACAAGTAAAATGTCTTTTGACACTTCATGTTACCCTTAAATTTGAGGGTTGATGAGTCCAACCTTAGATACGCACTTGCACCAAACACCCGTACTCAAGTCCATGTAACATAGGAGCTTGTTTAGTGGTTAGAACTCCGCCTCTATCAACCTTGAGGTTGAGTTCTTGAACATGGGGCAGACGCTTTGTGTAAATAATGCTAAAGATTAGGTTTGTATCAATCCATCCTTTTCTCATCTAATGAGAACTAAACAGGGTGTACAAATGGTTGAGCTTACTTGGGTCCTCATAGTAATTTACATATGTGTGTGTTGCAGGAAAATCCAAGGATGAAGCAATGAGTGACTATATCACTAAGGTGAAACAGTTGCTGGAAGAAGCTACTGCTTCTGCTTGATGTCGTGAAACTTCTTCTGTGTTTCTTCATGGTAACTTTGCGTTGGAAAAAAATTATGAAAGATAATTATGACCAACATTGGTAGTTGTTATTGTTGCATCCTTTATGAATTCTATGTGCTTGGATCAGATGTGCTGGAGTTAAAGACATGATCATTGTTTATTGGAATGGGATGATTATCTATGGTTTATTGTGATTATGTTTGAGATTGCGTCTGTGAATTTCTGGCCTCAACCATGAATTCTGGTTTGATTTGTCTTAAAGATTCATCTTGCATTTAACAAAATATTTTTTTCGAAAAAATTAAAAAGATAAAAAATAATTTGAAAGAACAAAATAAAAAAATTATTTTTTTGAATTTTTTATTTTTAAAATAGAGTTTTGAAATGAGTTTGGTTATAAGTTTTAAAAAGAATTTTGGAATTAAATTTTGAAAACTTCGTCTGGTTATGGTTTTGAAATTTTTTGATTTAAATTATGATTTTCAAAAGAGAAAATCAGACCCTCCTTAGAATTTTCTACAAAATGATCCGGATGAATCAAGATCATTCATTTTAAAGCAAAATACTTGCAAAAACGGCTCTTAATTTCAAAGGTTTCATCGCCTAATACCTTTCAAAAGAATATAATTTATTAGTGTCACAATTTTGTGATGGTTGCGACAATGCCTACATTTGAATGAAAAATGCAGTCTTTGTTTGTGCTCGTTTGTCTAATCATGAAATTGGAAGTGTGATCTTAAAATTTTGGGTCCTGAAATCTTGAAGTTGGAAGAAACCCAGACTGCAGTAATTTCCAGATTACACTATGATTTACGGCGTTGGCATATCATATATTTGTGTGTTTTTTTATTTTTATTTTTTAAATCGCAATTCAATTTTCATAAAATCAAGAATTTTTTCTCTGCTCATAACTTTCTGATGGATTCACATTTCACAAATTAACCATTGGATTAAATACCTTCTTATGCTTGCATAACTTTCTGATGGATTCACATTTCACAAATTAACCATTGGATTAAATACCTTCTTATGCTTGCTAAATTTTATGTCGATTAGATATCAAGATATTTTTCATCTAGAAATGCTATAACTTCTCTAAAATGTGAATCGATCAATAAATAAATAAAAGATTTAAAAACAGTGAAAAACTTGACTTTTTTTCTTGTTGCAAAACTTTTTAACTTTCCACAAGTCTAATTTGATCTTTAACTTCTTTTTTAATAATGAGGAACCTCTGGCTCCCTTTGGACTCGTCTTTAAGAAACTAATGTTGTGTTTGGTTGAGAGATTTGAGGAGGGATTTGGAAAGAAAAATAGAAAAGATAGGTAAAATATGAATAAAACATGCTTAAATTTCACATAATTTCACACACTTTTTCCCTTTCTCTTTCCAAATCCCTCCCCAAATCCTCCAACCAAACACACCATAAATGTTTATAATCATCCGAAAATCACGAGTATCAATTAGATTCGAGAAACGCCAACCCAAGATGCTCAAACCCGCTTACTAGTCCAGTCTTTTTACTATAAAAGACAATCTAAAAACATTTTGCAACAATGTCAACATATTTAATCATTTAGAATTTTCACATTGTCAAAATGGCCACAATACATGCCCTAAACTGATATGCCACTTACATGCCCCAGAGCTTTTGGCGCCCACTTCTAAAGAAAATAAATTGATAGAACCTAAAATGGATGAAACACCACATAGATGAAGACTATAAATTGTTGAATCAACTGCTCCTCGAAAATGGCTGGTAATACCACTTAAGGGCGGATAGACAGCCCACCCAGTGCCGCTTCATGAAGTGTATTTTAAATTAAAAAAAAAAAACTGATAAACCAAGAAACACATTAAAAAAAACCCTTTAAATTGATCAGATTTCTAAATAATTAACCCTACTTATAGGTTTGTCAAAACACTCACTACAAGAAGACGGAATAAAAAAAGAAGCCATGAAAACCCTTTTTCCTTGTGGTGACTGTGTTGGAACCTTTTTACTTAAAAAGAGTGAGGAAAGCCCTCCTAAAACCAACCCAAAACAGAGCCCAAGATATCATAGCCTCTTTTCCTCTCCCAAAAATAAAATAAAATAAAAACATAAAGATTCTACATGAGTTCCTCCTTGATCAATACCACAAGTTCTTACCCTTTTGGTGCTTGCTAATTCCTTTAAATGAGTGTTTTCAATCTGCCTTATTTTTTGAATTCTCCATTGACGCATCTATTTTACAACAAAAATATTTAAATCCTGTTGAACTTCTAACCACCACTTTAATGGTTTGTGTCAGTAAATTACTTTTAAAAAGGAATATTATATATATTTGCTGGATCAGGATTGCATTGTAACAGTCAGGGTTATCTCTATTGAACAAAAGGATATCTAGATATATAATAATCCCTTACTCGAGAGGCGCCATCTCTGGCTAGAATCCCTTCAACATCTCCAATAATTCTTGCCAGCCATATCTCCAAGTTTCTTTGGATTTCTTTGAAGTTGTTTTTAATGGAGTCCAAGGAACGTCTTGTGGCCAGTTTGGCCTGACCTTCCAGCTCATCCCGAAAAAACTCTTTCCCGTCTCAGTTTGCAATGCTGTCAGCTTCTGTCCAGTTTTCAGCTGCACGCTGCTGGAGACGAAATGCTTCGATCAAAAACTCGGTTTGCCTCTGTGTTCGGAACTCTGAGCTGAGATTGGGTTCACAGGGATCACTTGCCTGCTATAACAAACAAGACAAACTTCTCAGCAACATACTTCTTTATAAATCAATAATACTAAAAAGGACGTGTCATAATGCCATGCCAGAGAAAAAGAAAGAGAGAACTAAAGGACATTAATGCATGAATGTAGATGTGAGACACATGAGAATTCAAACTGCAATAAAGATATCCAGCCTTAACCCCCGTCTCAGACAAAAATTTCAGCTTTTGTTTCCATAGATTGAGAATATGCTTCTACTAAGACAACTTAATTAGTGCATAAACAGAACGCGTAGAGGGAAGAATCCAACTAAAAAGGTTTCAAGTGAATCTGCTACAGACAAGTACATCACATTTGGCAGAAGTTTTACATAGAATTTCCTTTTTTGCTTCTTCTAGGACGTAATCTTCTCTTTTTCTTTTTCTCCATTTTACATCCTTTGTGCAAAATAGACAACTTCCAAGTTCAAATATTTGATCATAATACAATCTGTGAAATAAAGTGGTTTCTATGATCATGGATGTCCAATTTCTAGTCTTCACAAGATTGATTTGATAAGTGATCAAGAAAGAACCTACATGACCTTGTCACCATCATTCCAAAATTCCATTCAAAGGATTGTTAGTAGGATAGTATCCTCGTGTTAAATATTCGACAAACAAATTGTATGCTGCAATAATGTGTAGTAAAGTAGTAAGTTTCCTAAACTACTTGGGGATGAAAGAAAACAAACCAAAGCACAACGGTGCAAAAAAGAGACTGTTAACTTGTTATGCATTACCATTCTTCTGCATAGATCATCAATCTTTCCCGCAAGAGCCTGATATCTCTTTGCTTGCTTTCTCATCTGTGATGGTACCTTTAAGAGATCACCTTTACCAATTCTTTCCAAGTTCTGCAGTTCTAAACAGATTGTATGCTGCAATAATGTGTAGTAACGTAGTAAGTTTCCTAAACTACTTGGGGATGAAAGAAAACAAACCAAAGCACAACGCTGCAAAAAAGAGACTGTTAACTTGTTATGCATTACCATTCTTCTGCATAGATCATCAATCTTTCCCGCAAGAGCCTGATATCTCTTTGCTTGCTTTCTCATCTGTGATGGTACCTTTGAGAGATCACCTTTACCAATTCTTTCCAAGTTCTGCAGTTCTTGCTCGAGTAACTTTAGTTTAGAGGAGACACCTGTGGTTTCACCATCTACCTTCCAAGGGGACTCCCTTCTGAACAATAAACATTTGTTACTCCTTCATTAGTTGTGGTATGTTGACAATATGAGTTTGATGAAATAATATTTGTGTGGACCGTTAAAATTTACCTCGCTACAAAATGCTTCATGTGATACAATGAATCAACAGATTCATACTGTACATCCTGCAACAACGAACATCTGAAATCAACATATATTGGAAATACCTTAACCCCTTAAAATGCTCTTTAGCAATCAGAATGTCCTTTCAAAAGTACAAAAGTTACATATCCAACCCAAAGATCGTCATATAAAACAATGAAAAAAGTCAAGGAATAATGGTGCTCTCGACAAGGAGATTTTGTGCGTCAAAGCTAATTGTCCTTACCATTAGATATTCACCCTAATTGATGATGAAAGGGAACTTCATTTTCTGTGAAGCAATTCTATCAGAGAAATACCACGTAGAATGATTTCTAATAGGCGGAGATCGAGTTCAAAGACCAATAGTTTCACACACTTCACTTATCCATCCTCTTTCAAATGGTCTAGTCCAAGTGAAAAAGCGCATTGATCAACAAGTTCAAAAGATGCCTTGTTTGACAACTCAGAAAAGGAAAATATAGAAAGGAAAGACAAACTCATACACATTAAGAAATAAAGAAAAAACACAGCAGGAAAAGCACGAAAAGAAAGGGAAAATCCGTAACACATAGATGAGTCCACATAGATGGTGATTTTGTAAAATCCAACATTAATTTTTATGATGGAGGTGGAAGATGATGAAACACCAGTATCTTTCAACTTTCCTACACAATTTGTCTTCACAATAATATAATTTATACGAAACTATCAAGTATTTTGGGTGAATATGAAAATATCAAGCAATTACAGTTGGATGATAGTGATGTCGGAAGAAGATTCCCCAACAATGATAACAACGGCAGTGAGTAGTGGTCCAGTCAAATGCTGAAGTACAATATTGGGCTCCCATAATACCAATTACAGTTGGATGAAAGAGATTCCCCAACAATGATAACACTGGTGGTGAGTAGTGGTCCAACAAAAAGTCGGAAGTTTAGTAGACAACAAGAAACACTGAATTCAAGAGTTGTCGATATATTCACACAAAACTAGAGAACCAAATCTTGAGTAGACACCAAAAAGATCAAAATATCACCGACTAGTGGATAAGTGAATCAGGACAAATTGCCGAACTAAAAAAAAGACAGGATCAGACAAATTGCAATTCACAGTAAGCACACCACTTCAATGATTATTATTAGGGACTTGGAAATATGAGATTAATAACAACCAATTAAATTTGAACTTCGCGCCAATGCCAATTAACTCTCCTTGATCAAAGAAGAACAAACTACAAATGAAACAGAGACCTTCCAAAGTCAACGGGGCAGCAATGACGAACCAATCCAACAAAAGACCATGAAAATGAACTTATGTCTAAAGCAGAGATGAAAATTGTTAGGAAACGGAATTAACTGCAAATGCAGATCAGGAAATCATCTATTTAAATGTAAAGTTTAGTAAGCAAGTTAAAGTATTTGATTTTGATTGCATTCTCGCTGATCCTTTTATATGCATTGAGAAACCCAAAAGCAAAACAACAACACATTAACTTTCCTTTCTCTGGATTCATTTTCTCAGCAACCAACCAGAACAATTTAATCAATCAAAGAAGAAGAAAACAATGACGATCATCAAACCTGCCAGAGACTAGCTCTTTCAGCCCAGAACTTGGAAGTAGAATTCAAGAATTCCGAACTAAACCCATTGTTCTGTCCATACATAGCCCCCATTTCATCCCCATTGTGTCCTTCTCTCTCCATAAAACACTCCTCCGCCACTGGATCCAACCCCTCCGAAACCCTAACATTCGAACAGCACTCCCCTCCACAGCCACCGCCGCCGCCGCCTCCGTCGGAAGATTCTTCAAATTCCGACCTCCTAGCCATGAAATTCAACATCTCATCCCTCTCCCCAACCTCTCTCCTAAGTTCCTCAACGCTCCGCCTCATCTCCGCCTCCGATTTGTCGAGCTCCTCAACCCTAGCCCTCAAATGCGCGATCTCCTCCGCCCCAGCATCGATCTGGTGAAGCAGCCGCTTCTCCTCCTGCTGCCAAGCGTGGCGGTGACTGGCGAAGATCTCAACCACCCTCGCGTTGGCCTTGGAGTCCTCCTTCCGCCGCGAGCGGAGCTGCCTGAGCTCCTCCTCCGCTTCAACCAGCTTCAAAAACAGGTCTCTGTTGCGAGATTGAAGAGTTGGGACCAAGGAAATCGAGGGTTTTGGAATGAGGCCGAGAAAGACTGCGAAGCTCAGACCCAGATAGGAAGATAGAAGCTTTTCATGGTCTTGGTGGTTGCTGTGAAGTTCAATGGTGGTTGTGGAAGTGGGCAGTTGTTGGGTTTCTTGAATTTCTTGATCATCATCAGCATGTGCTTGTGCTGCCATGAGTGACTGTGAGCCCCTACCTCTCTCTCTAGAACACAGTGTGTGTTTGTTTGGGAAAATGTGAGAGTGTGTGGGGGTGTCTGTGTCTGTGTATATATGTATTGCATTGATTTTTTAGTACACTTTGTTTTTGGCTTTTTTGTGTTTGCTTTTTTATCAGTGAGTGGGGTGACGTGGGTTTTACTGGAATCAAGCTTGCTTTTTTCTTCATCATTTAAGAATCAGCAGAGTTGGGCAGGAACTTTTTTTAAATCACTATTCAGATCTTTTAAAACAGTTTTTTTTTTTTTCTTATTTTTTTATTTTTTTTAGTATATATTTTTCTTTGGGTTTACTCTTTTGACTTTCCTAGCTAAGTTTTTTGTTTTTAAATTATTTTTTTAGCTATACTTTCGTAGTTAAGTTTGTTTTTAAAGGCATGTTTGGCACCAGCTTTTAGCTGGATTTTTTTTGACGGAACTCATTTTTTAAATATGTCAATATTTTTTACTTTTGAACGGTCTAGGATGATTTTGAAATTTTAAAAAAAAAATTATTATTAATAAAAAATAAATAGAATTTGTTATAAAAAAGTCTATAAAATTGGGGGGGTTTTTTTCTGTTTTTGAAATTTTATTTTTTTATTTTTAAGATCATCTAATTTAAATGAATTAAAAAAATAATAATTCAAAATTTTAAAAACCACTAACGAAATCCCTAAAATATAACACAATTTACAAATCAACAATGATTCATCCCACTAAAAACATCATCACTAATAGCACTAATGCATTAAAAAAATAAAAAAAATAAAAAAAAATTACAACTCCAAGACCAAAACATCACATCATTCATGACGGGACCCACTGCCACCTAATTAGTGGGAGCACTAATTAGTGCTCCCAAGCATTTTTCTTTACAAATTTCAACCAACAGGATTTAAGAGTGAGGTTTGTGTCCAGAGGATTGGACCGGGCAGTTGGGATCAAAATTTGTTTGTTAATTAAGACCATCTCTATCGATTCACTAAATTTGGTATCAAATTTAAATTTTGGTGAAAAAATTATTGTTTGGTGTTCTAACGGTTGCACTAAATCGGTATAAAAAATTCACCAAAAAATTCATCAAAGTGAGAACAGCGTACAGATTTCATCAAATTACTGTGCGCGACCGTTGAAGGAGAGGAACCGATCAACCAGCCGGTTGCCCGGTCGGTTGACCAACCGGTCAACTACGAAAAGGTTCAAACAGTTCAAATTTATAGGTTAAAAAAAATTTGCCTTGCTGGTCGATCAGCCGGTCCACCACTAAAAGGTTCAAACAGTTCAACTTTATTGGTTCAAATAATTCCAAAAAAAAAAATTCCTCTTACCGGTCGACCAACCGGTTGTCCCAGAGCAGATTTGATAAAAACTGAACCGTTGGAGCCGTCTGTATCAAATTGAGAAAATAGTGATTTTTTTACTCAGATTTAGTAAAAAAATTGGTGAACCGTTGGAGATGTTCTAAGACAAGTTATTGGTTAGTTTTTTTGACTTTTTGGGTAGGGATGACAATGGATAACCTACCCTGTGGGTATCCATGGAGACCCAACCCAAATACATGGGTTTTCCTTTCTTTTTCTTATCCATTGGGTAGGGTAAGTAATATTTTTTAAATATCCACAAAGGATGGGTTGGGGATGGGTACTCACTAATTTTCCCATATATATATATATATATATATATTTTTTTTTTAAGATTCACAACCAAAACTAAATATACATTTAATCTTTTTTCTTTTATTTTTTTTTTTCAGGTTCACAACCAACTTTTTTTTTTTTTTTAAGATCCACAACCAAAACTAAATATACATCAAATCTTTTTTTTATTATTATTTTTTTTACATAAATTATAAACGCGTTTGGTTTGAACAAAATGTTTAAAAAAATTTAAAAACATAAACTAAAAATATGTTTGTTCAAACCTAAAATATTTATATTCATTTTTATTATTTTATGACAATGGGATTACACACATTATAATTGAAAAAAAATTAATTGAAAAAAATGAAAAAAAAAATTAATTGAAAAAAAATTATTTGAAAAAAAAATTTATTTGAAAAAAAAATTTGAAAATTGAAAACTAAAAACGTAAACTCATTTACGTTTTTTCCTCAAATTTATAAACTGAGACAACTATTTATAAATCAAAAAAGTTATCAAGTTTTTATAATAATTTTTTTAAAATTTTATAAATATAAACTGAAAACGAAGGGTTATTAGACAGACCCTTACCAAACAGACACAATTTACAAATTTCATTGTGTCTAGAGGATTGGACCGTGCAGTTTGGATCAAAATTTGTTTGTCAATTAAGATAAGTTATTTGGCCTTTATTTGGAATGTGGGTTAGTTTTTTTTTGACTTATTGGATACTTTAGTTTTGGTTAAAAAGTTTAAATTTTTTGATTTTTTTAATTTTTATGAGAGAAAAAATAAAATGATTATAAGTTAGATGTGACATTCTATCCTATTTGACTAAAATAGTCAATTTTGTCCTATATGATTATTTTAACCCAAATGAGCATGCCAAACATAGCCTTGGTGTAGTTTATTTCAACTGTTTATACACACACATATATATATATATATATATATATTTGAGAGTTCATATTAGATTATTTAATGCATTATTAGGTAAAAATTTAGTACAATTTTTGTTTATAGCTTATTAAACATAAATAACTTAAATAAATTAAAAAATAATAATTTTCGAAAATTAGCTGAAAGCTGATTTTGATTTATGCTATTAAATTATCAATTTTAGTCTAAAAGAAACTGCAAAATAGAGTTTTGAAATAAGTAATGGTATAACAAGAAAAAAAAACTTATACAAAGGTAGTGTACAAAAATGTATGTTATATTTGGATTAAAAACTCAAGTAACTTGCATAATTATTGCATAAATTTATATTCGGTATTATTTTCAAAGTTTTTATTTTTATTTTTTTATATTTATAGAAACAAAAAAATAATAATTCAAAGTCCCTACTTATTTTCGTAGCATTGTTATTTTTCCAAATAAAAATAGTTTAAAGATTTGTTACTGTTTAGTTGATGCATTTGGAAAACATTTTCAACTTTCACTTTCTTTAACAAAACATCTCAATTATTGTTCATTGAAAGATATTTTATTCACATTTTTAATTAATAATATTGATTTTTTAAAGTTCCTTTTTTCTTTTTTCCCTAAAAGCTAGTTCCAAACAATTGGTGGGTCTTTAATAGAATTTAACCAAAACTTAGGGAACACTCATCACAGATTCCCAATGTAAATGGAACAATAATTGCAAATTTATTTTTCCCTTGTAAATATGACAAGGGTATGTAAATACAAACAATTGTACTCAAATTCACAAATATTTCTGTTTATTGCTTTTATTAGTAGGAAGTAAAACACAATATATATATATATATACATGTTAGCTTATTGCCTAGAATTTTTGTCTTTTTCATACTGAGCCTTTCAATTGCATAAAGTTCTGTTACATGGTTACTATCACATGTTACTTTCAGGGTAAATTATACAATATTTTTTAGAAAAATTAAAAAAAAAAAAAACTTAGGCAGCATTTAATAGAATTTTAGAATTATGATTTGAGAATAGAGTTATATTTTGCCTTTGTAAATTTTGAAATTATGATTTGAAAAAAGAAAATTTGTTTAGTTATGAGTTTTAAAAAGAGTTTAAAATTTTTGAAATTAGAAAAGTTATTTGATTCAAAAACTTATAACTCATAACCAAACATATAACTCAAAATTTTATTTAAAGGTCATAAAAAATTTTAAAAAATTCTGAAAATATATTTTATTTAAAATATAAAAATAACAGGAGTGTAAGCTTTTAGGGAATCTTATTTGTATCTCTCATTTTGGCTCTTTGAAGTACTAGTGTAATTATTTGTATTTTGGAAGGATGATAATGTATTGTGAACAATAAATCTTTTGGGGAGTTCAAGAAGAAAAATGAGTATTTACTAATCATTCCATTGACATATTTTATTATCATTTTTATTTTATTTTATTTTATTATACATCAACTTTTATTATGAAATGGATATAAGACTAAAAGGATTAATAAATATAATTGATTAAAATATCATGGCGTTACAAGCTTGTTTGTAATATTTTTTAGATTATACAAAACAGGTCGGATAGAACTTTAATAATTAAAATATATGTATATATATATATATATTTATTTTACTTGATGAAAATAAAAAATTATTTAGATTGAAAATAAATCAAACTTTATAATTTAAATTAATAAAATAAAAAAAACTCCAAATTTATTTTGCTAAAAGGGTCAAATTCTGAGTTTTTTTATTGTAATTTTTAAAAAAATTTAAGTTGAGATAAAATATATTCAATCTCATGAGTTTGGAATAATAAGATAACGTTCTTCTAAAGTTATATTAGAATTTGTTCAGTAAAAAAATCTAAGAACACATAAATGAAATTTTTGCACGTTTTTATAATCGGTTTATATATATGCAATTGTTGTTTGGCAAAATAAAACGTAAAACACTAACAAACAATTTATGAAGGTTGTTGTTTTGGCAAATTAAAATGTAAAATACTAACAAGCAGTTTATGAATGTTGATTACTATTGCTATGTATACATATATATATATATATATAATGTATTAAACTATGTAAAAGTTTGTAAAAACATATAAAAGTAAAGAGAATGTGTAAAATATATATTGATTTTTTTTTATTATTTTGACATTATTTAAATCTTAATTAATTGATTCTACATATACAGAAGAAAAGTAACTAAGAGAATAATTTTATATTTCACAATAATTCATTGATTCTACATACACAAAAGAAAAGTAATCAAGAAAGATTAAAAAAAAAAGAAAAGCATTGTTATGCAACAACATTTTCAATATAACAATGTTAAAGACACGTAAAATTTTACACACTAAAAAGTGTGAAATTCGAATTAACGATTTTACACACGTAATTTAATTGTATATCTTTAACCTTTTCAATAACTATCTCAGTATTTAATGTATATGGGTGTCAATATTTTTTTACGTAATTGATTTTAGATCGATATTAACAAAATGATTGTTGTGGCTCTCTATCATTGAGTAGGTTGTGGCAGTCACATGGGGCAGTTGCTATGGTTGCCTTTCTAGAGAAACTAACAACGATACAAAAAGAAAATTGAGATTGC